CACAACACAACACAACACAACACAACACAACACAACACAACACAACACTACTTAATGAGAGAAACCTAGAAATAATGTTGCAAGCTCGCTATGTTTACCAAGATAATTTAGTCGAGACTTGCATTGCCGAACTAGTTTGGAAGTAGTTAAAGGGCTGGCTATTGCCTTAAGTGCAGCTTGGTTATCCCCCCAGGGACGTAAACTCCTTCCGCACCTATTTTTCAGCACATAGTCCATAGGCTTGAGGATTGCAAATATCTCAGCCTGGAAGACCGAAGACCACAGATCCTGACCCAGAGTGAGTTTTGGAGCCTCCGGGAACTCAACGTTATAGAATCTCTTCAACAAAGGCAATGGTGGCGTACTAATCTGCGGCATTGGAAGATACAGGGGCTCTGATCTCTGCCTCCAGCAATTTCTGCCTCTTTCCACTCAGTGTTTTACCAACATCCGTATTAGAACTTACTTAAATCTTATTAAAGAAAAGTCCGAAAGGCAAAGAAAAAATACCGGAGGTACTTCTATGATCACTTGGAGGGAACAAACAAGTTGGAAAAACTAAAGAAATTCCAAGCATGCCACACCTTATACGTAAGAGTTGGTAGGACTGTACAAATTCAAGTAAGTAGTCGTTAGAAGGCCTGGTCAATACCCACTTTCCGTGTCGCTTGGACTCCACGGACCTCGATAGCCGGAGAGATATAGCGGGTAGCACCCCGCCAAACGTTATAATTTCATCCTTAGTAGAAGGGAAAATCAATAGTTTTGAGCCTCACAAATCTCCAGGAGTAGACGGAATATTTCCAGCCTTGCTCCAAAGTTGTACCATGGCTGAAGTCGATATTTTTTATTATTAGAGGCTGGGCTATGCGCCGGTACTGTGGAGAGAATAGAGGGTTGTTTTTATAACCAAGGCAGGCAAGAGCAACCCAGTTTCCTCAAAGGTGTATACACCCATGAATGCTGCAAAAAATTCTTGACACAAACGATGCCAAAAAAATTCATAGGTACCCGGTAATTTTATAAGCATCTCCAGGGGCAAGAAAGCTGCACCCCGAAATCTTAGCTGTTCATATAGGGGAGAACCACACCCTTTTAAGGAAGATCCAGGATCTTAATAAAAAACTCGAGCATGTAAAATTTTAAGTGTATATAAATGGCTATCTTCACTGGCCAAATTCTATTTTTTGGCATCGTGTGAAAACTTGTGACTCACATCAGGGAAACTCTTTCGTAAGGCATCTTGGTTAAGGCAGAACTAAAGACAAGTCTATAGAGACTGCACTACACTCATAACTACACTAGGGCAACCAAACGGGCATGCAGAGGTACACCGTAATGCGATATACTCTCACCAGTATTATAACTACTAACGGCCAACAATTACTAAAGGGATTCGAGGTGAAAGCACCCAAAGTAGTGACGTATCGATCAGTCAATTAAAGACCCCACATAGTATATGCAAGTAGTCTTGGATAATAAGCTGCTGTGGGGGCGCAATGTTGAGGAAAGAGTGAAGAAGTCCAGTAACCTGCCTTGATGAATTGGTGCTACACAGCAATAGTCAGACCAATAATTTTCTATGGCGCTTTGGTGTGGTGGAATGCCGCAAAAAAGTTTTCATACCTCGGGCTAATGGAGAAGGTTTAGCGCCTCGCGCCACTATGTATCACGGGATCGTGGAGGTCCACTCCAACGGGTGCTCTAGAAATCATTGATGGCCATAGAGGAATTCGCAACTCAATTGGAACAAGAAACACAGACAGAACAGATTATATGCCACCTTGCTTTAATTGGGAATGAAGGTTTCGTGCAACGATTGAGGAGGAGGGATGGAGCAAGGGAATAAAACCTAGCCGGAGATCCATAAGTATTTTCACGGACTGCTCTAACTGCCAGGATCTGAACGCCAGGGGACAGCGGGGTTACTTTACCATTGCAACATATTTCAAGCAGAGGTTATCGCTATGAGGACACTTATACGTAGACAATCAGGCGGCAATTAAGCATTTATCTCTTTTAGTATTTCATCTAAAAAGTGTCCTCCACAGCCGGGAAGCCATTGACAGGCTGGCCGCAAAGGGTAGGCTGCATATCTATTGCGTACCAGACGGCAAAGAAATATAGGGTAATGAAATAATAGATGATACTGCCAAGAGCGCTACCATTCTGACTGTCGTACAGACAAGCAAAATTCATAGACCCCTCCAATAATTGCATAACAAAATAGACGACATTGTGACTAGGCGGTTCGGGGCTGGATGGAATGAGTTAACGACCTGCTAAACTGCAAAAATTATGTGCGAAAACAGCGAATCCAACCACACTCGCTTCTTATTACGGTATCCAGGAAATAGTATAGTAATGCCATCGCATCGCTTACCGGACATATCCTGGTGGCTGCTCATGCACAAATAATGGGCATCGGTAACGTGGACAGGTGCCGGAAATGTCGTTAGCGGCAGACCAAAGAAACCTTAGAGCATCTTTTATGCCGATGTTTCGCAGAGTCCAAAACACGACAAAATTCTAGAAGATAGAAGGTATCTAAAAAGTAGAGTACTACTGAAATTTGCAAAACCCGTTGACATCTTTTAACGTCTAAAATCGAACTTCAACTGGCAACTCTAAACACCTATCGATCGACATATGTGTGGCTCAACGCTATCCAGAATAACCTAACCTAACCTTAAACCTTTGGTAAGTTACGGAGACCCCAATGGATGCATTTGTGGTTTGGTGGAACAGAACTCTCTATCAATATTATAGGAAAATCTGGTTTCTCAACTGAAAAAACGAACGCTGTACGCTTTACGGGTGCTTTAAAGCTCCTAACATCTGTGCGCTATTCCGAACGTACTGCTTAACCTACCGTCACTTTATGTCTTTATCCGTGGGGAAGCCCTTAAGGGCACTAATAGGCCTGGTACATACAATGTAGAGTGAGGGAAAAGTTGCTTGAGGCAAACATCTAAACGAAAGTATAATTTCAATGCCAAAGAACAACTAGAACTGGCTTTGCTACAAAGTTGAGTTCCTGGACTTACACTTTGTGGAATCTTTACTTATGGCTCCAAAACTGACATGGGCCTGAAGTCTATATCAAAGGTAACGGGTAAAAACTTGTGTTTCACTCGTTAACTGACCATTTGACTGAAGAAAGCTGATGCCAGGTATTTCTCGGTACTCGACCAGTTATGGCACTCTCACATGCGGCCACCGAAGCCACCCGCGGAAACAGGGAGTCTTCGCCAGTCTGCTACTACACAAAACTCATCTGGCTGCATAGATATGCCGTTACATCTACATATATGTTTTTCCTTTGATTTAATAATGATGTTAATAAAGTTAATTACAGCTTTTTATGCGAGCTTTCACATACTACGTTTGAAAAGCTATTTACGTACATATATATTTATATGAGTCCATAAACATGAATGTGTGTAAAAAGCCTAACTATTGAAAAATGACTCTCTCAACTGTTGAACATTTTTCGAGTAGGTACATTTGTGTGTGTGATAAAAGCCTTATCACGCGGGAAACTTTGGCTCATTTGAAGCGCGAATCGGTTAGCTAAGTGCAGTGAAATAAATTTGGTGGCTAGTTGATTGACTCTTGCTTAGTTGGCCATGTAGCGGTTTCTATTGAGTCGTTGTCTTCACGTCGTCTTCTCCAACCAACTGTCCCCCATCAACCAATCTTCGCGACGAAACATTCTCGTGTACACAGACACCTGTAGAGCGTTTAAGTTCTTCATCGTTTCATTGGGCCGTTTACTCTCTCAGCTTAGCTTGCACGCTCACTGCGGGACTTTTGCCTGGTTCTTCAACGGTTTTTTGCGATCGTCGCCAGAAGCTTTGCCGTAACTCATTTCAATTCGTTGCAATCAGTTGTTTAATTCATTTAGTACGTTTTGGACATTCCGCGATCACAGCCGTTGCGAGCTTATCATACTCGTAAGCGTTAGCGCTTTTTGTTGTCGATCGGTAATATTTCTGCGGTTCAATAGACCTGTAGCGATTGAAAATCAATTTTACGTGCTCGTTTCCCACGATTTTTGTTTAGGTTTAGACACCTAGTAAATTACAAAAATTGCAAACAAATAACAAACCAAAGCAGTGTTCATCATGCCACAAAGGTACGCGCTAACATAATAAATAACAGTGATTAAATAACTTTCAGAAATTCTTGGACTACCCGTAGTGAGTCACACTGTGATTTATAAAGAGGTCTTTCCCCAAATCACATGAAGCTTTTCTTTCAAATGTCTGTTAGAATTTTTCAAATAGATACATACATACATATTTGTATATGTGCCTCCATATCTATGTACATATGTATGCGTGTATGTACATAAGTGGAATTCTAAAGCATCTTTTTTACACAAACAAGTGTGTTATTCACACGAATTCGTATTTTCAAATATGCATACATACTGACATACATACATATGTATGTACATTAGGCTGGCTCACGTAAAAAGTTTCTGCTTGTCCATGAGCATCATAAAACTTTCTCTTTTGTTGCCCCTTCTTGAGATGAAGCGCGTTGAAAATTCGTGTAAACTCACCACGGCCTTTCGAAAAACAAAAGTCTTTCGTAAAAAATTTTTCATTCTGGCAACTATACTGAAAGCTCTTTTTTGACTTTCGAAAGACTAATTTAAAACTCTGCTAACGTGGATACGTCATTTTGTATGTCTTTTAGCAATAGTCTTAAAAAATAAATCAAATTAACAAAAATATAAATATTACTTTCTAAACCAATAAAAACTTAAAATTAAAAGAAAATTTACTAAAACAAGTAAGAAA